TTATAATTCTTTTTTTTTTTTAATATTTCGAAATCACATCGGCGATGGTGCTATTTTAGTATCATTGATATACTGTTATAGCTTTAATTAATATAATGTTTATTTTATTAATTAAAATGTTTTTAGGGTATTTTACTTTTAGTTAACTGTAATAACCTTGTACTGTACAATAAGAAAGTAAATATTTTATAATTCTAATTCATTTTATTTGACATAGTATATTATTTACAACACTATTTATTTCTTAAATTCTTTTCTGCCAAATTTTAAAACCTCAATATTTTACTTTAGTGACATAAAGTCAACTTTAAAAAATGCCTCTTGTTACAAATATTGTAAAATGCTAGACACTTATTGGAAAACCACATTTGGGGAAAACCTATTCTAACCAAGAATATATTGATTTTTGCCTTGCCAACAATAACATAGGCAAACAAAGTCCCATAGGGGCCCGAGCCATATCAAGGGACCAGTTACTTTGGAGGGTTGGCCATTTTGACTTGGGCCAGTAAGAAACTACCCAGAAACTGCATAGCAACATGCTAAAACCTCTCAGAACAACATAGCAGCTGTATAGCAACACCCTGTCAACCATGTAACATATGTTATAAGCATGTTACCAGCTAACCAGTTATCAATATTTTTTTGTATGTGTAATACCTTTATGAGCTTTGTGGTAAAACAAGGCATTATGACCTCTGAGAAGAAAAAACTACTGCATTATAGTTGCCTAGAGGTTGAAAAACAACATGAAACAATGGTTCAGTAGAAATAAATGTGCTTTTCTCCTTAGTCTGTTATAAACAATGTTTGTTGAGATGTTGTTGGCAGGAGTAAATGCAACAGCAGGAGTATTCAAATTGGTTGTCACTGTATTGATTGATTGCGTATGGCCTGAAATGCCCTGTGCAGAGAAATATTACTTGCTCCATCTGAAATTAAACCGATTATACACTCACTGCGAGGAGTTGTTTGCTCAAGATCATATTTAATAACATTTTGGCTTTAAGCGTTTTTTCGAATGACCAGGAGTGCATAATTTTTTATGAACACCGACCAGGGACAAAATAAATGAATTTCCTCATTCCAGAGTTTTTCCCTGCAATATGTGTCACTAGTTTAGTGCAAAGGGCAAATTAATTTGTAAAGAATAGGCCATTTTGTCCTTGATTGTTCTGTTTCCAATTCTGCCGTCATGGTGTTATGGAATTGAACATCTTTCAAAGGATGAATCCCTAGGAGAGCAGTAGAGTTATTGAAAGTGGAATTATTTTTTTTTTAGACTTCACAGACTTGGTCCAGTTCTTGAAACTGAAGGGCATCTCTTCACTGATTTTGTGCAGATGTCTGGCAGTCGATCTCCTTGTCTGGATGTAATGTCGTCATTTTGTTTGTGGAACTTTCCATGTCTCCTTTTTTATATGAGCTGTCATTGTTTGACTACTTTTAGCACAGAATCATCACGCATCCCTGAGGAATGACATGCTATGTGCCTCCCACTCAGCTGCAAGATCCTCACCTGAAACAGGCTTAATCCTGTCAGATTTGATGAAAAACAGACCCCAGAACGATCCTCCACAAAAATTAATCTGGCATCCTGCCCGATCTTGGCAGAAATGCGCATTGGAGGGAAAAAAGTGAGAAAAACAAATGCCTGCAAACAAAACCTGATTTTCGATTGAGTGCCAGTGGAGCCAAAATCAAGAACTGTGTGCCAAAAACATGTCAGTGCTAAAAACAGAAAAATCTTACTTTATTATTATTATTATTGCACTATTTAGAATATTATAATGTTTTAGTCCTATATTAGTCGTATTTACAATTCATAATAATATAAATAAACACTAATTATTATTACTATATCTATTATTATTGACAATAATACTATTTAATAATAAAACAAAATAACAAAAAGAAAAAATATGTACAATTTATTATTATTTTAAAAAAAAAATCACTTACAACACTTTTGAGATCTTTACAGTGACAACTGTAAAGCAACAACCTTGCAACCAATTCAAAACGTGGTGGTAATGTTATAGTTCATATGTATTTATTAAGACATTGCGATCACATAATACCATTCTTGTCTTAACATGCTGTCTAATGTCAGACCTCTGAAAGGGTAAGCCAAAGAGTAGAATGACAAGTTGTGACGACATGCACTATGCTATAGATCTAACTGTCGTCTCTTCTTCTTTGCACACTCCTGTTTTGAATATTTCTAAAAGCTCAGTGCCCATTTTAGTTCAGTCCCTGGCTTCCATCTCTCCCTCTTTCCCAACTCTAGAGAAAACATCTTTTCTAACAGCTGCAGCATTTATTCTCTCCCTTCCTCCCTCCCTCCTTCCCTCCCTTTTCTTCCTTCTCTCTCTTGCACAAAGAGATAAACATGTTATTGTGCCCTCTACGGCTTTAGCCAGATGGATTCTCCCCCATCTCACTTTGTTTGTTGTCATTGTTATTACTCTCCAAATGTCCTTGAGTCTGAAGGCACTCATACATTTCATCTGGTCTCTCATTCCCTCGTCCAAACCTCTCCGACCTCCCACGGTGCCCCAGACGTGAGAAAACTGCAAGAATTTGAGCTGCCCTACGTGTCCATCACCAGCCTGCATAGTCCCAACTACCGTATCGTCCTCCGTAAAAGGTACAACACTTATTTTGGAAGCAATGGTTGAGCATTCGGTCCTACAGCAAAGTGTACAATAAGACTACATTTATGTAGCCTAGAGAGGAAGTTCTTATAAAATGTGTTAATTGTCCTTAGTATACTTCTAAATCAATAACAAAAAACAGCCCTTTTAAAGGGACAGATGACCAAAAAATTTAAATTCTGTCATTTACTCAACTTCATGTCGATTTAAACCTGTATGACTTCCTTCTTTCTGTGGAACTGTGGAAGGCGGGCCTTCATTTGATACAGGAACTATTCGAGCTGTTCATGCCAGACTGGGGAGAGAGGTGTTGTAATAATGTAAAATATGTGAAAAATAATGTGTTTTTCGAAAAACCTAGTATGAGAGCCTGTTCTAGTACACCCCCAAAACAAAATCAAGACTTTGTAAAAGAGCATAATAGGACCCCTTTAAATAAAAAATAACTATATTGTACTATATATTGTTACTGTGAAATAAAATTACTCGTATCATGATATAAGATTTTGGTCATATCACTCACCCCTAGTCAGGATGCTAAAATAGTTTTTTTCTTGTAGTGAACGGGCCTTAAATGATGATAGAATTAACTTTTGTAGAGCTATCTCTTTACTAGAGCTTAAACTTTCCAGATTTCCAGTTTAAAGTTGTTTCTCAGAAACTTCATGAGTGCTTCCCAGAGTATAATTTTAATGGTGAGATGTTTTAACAAACAGCTCTCAAAGGGCTATTCAACACATGGATATTTGCTTTAGGAAGAGGTACCCCACAAGGCTCAATCTTCACTGTTTAAATGACTAGAAAGGCAGTTTTTGCCTTCCTGCTGTAGATGTGGGTATGAACATCATTACCACAGCGGTCTGATCATGTGGTTCTGTGCAGCAGCAGTTTTCATATTTGCACTTTAGACTTTTTGGACTTGAAGACAGTTGGATTTAGACATCTCTTTTATAACTCAAACAGTCTCTGAAGTGCTGTGCTTTCCAGAATCTCTGAAGTGGTTAAAGCAATACAAACTTAATTATTTATTCGCTGGAAAGTGCACATCCGCATACAGCATATAAATGTTGATGTTCCTAGTGGTGTATTAACTGCAGTATTCATCAAATGCCCTTTGGAGTGTGCGGTTTATGTAATGGAATAATTAGTGAGAATCAGGGGAGATTATTTATGTAAAATCTCCAACAAGGGCATTGAAACAGCATGTGTTTCACCATGTGCATTGGAAGCAGGTGTGAAGGTGTTATGTGAACATAAATTTCCCTTTTTTAGCACATTAACACAGCTTAGCAGATATTATTTTGCTAAAAATGTTTCCACTTTCACCACTTATACATCCTTGGTAAGCTAAATCTCACACCTCTTCATCATGTACTGTTGGAAAAGGTGCACAAGATGCTGGCGTGTTTTTCTTTTCAGTCCCCTCAGAGGAACTGCAGGCCTCTTGACCTACTTTACAGGAGACTACAGACAGCCTTCAGCCAGATCCCACCTGTTCACTACATCAGGAATGGAATATAGATCTGGCTGCTCTGATTGGCTGCTGACAGGCAGGAAAGGGTAGAAAAGCACAGGAATATTACACAGCTACTGTTCAAAAGTTTGGTGTCAGTAAATAAATTAAGATTTTTATTCAGGAAGAGTGCAATAAATCATTCAAAAGTATGGAAGCCCATTTCTGCCACCAAAAAAAAAAAGTTAATAGCGAGTTTTTATCTCACAATTCTTTTTTTTTCTCACAATTGCGAGTTTAATCTCGCAATTCTGACTTTTTTTTCTCAGAATTGTGTAATACAGACTCGCAATTCTGACTTTTTTCTCACAATTCTGACTTTTTCTCGCAATTCTGAAGTTATAAAGTCCAATTCTGATGGAGAAAAAGACTGTTTTCTCAGATTTGCGACTTTATCAGAATTGTGAGTTTAAATCTCCCTATTCTGAGTTTTTTTGTCGCAATTGCGAGGTCATATCTAACAATTCTGAGTCTGAATTGTGAGATGAAAAAGTCGCTGATAACCTTTTTTTATATTTTATTCAGTGGCGGAAATGGGCTTCCATATGGAAGTGACACTGAAGATATTTATAATGTTACAAAATATTTTTATTTCAAATAAATGCTGTTGTTTTGAAATTTCTATTCATGAAATGTAAGAATAAAAAAAAAAACGGTTGAAAAAAATCTTGGTTTCCAAAAAAATATTAATCAGCACAACTGTTTTCAATATTGATAATAATAAGATGTGTTTCTTGAGCAGCAAATCAGCATATTAGAATGATTTCTGAAGGATCATGTGACACTGAAGACTGGAGTAATGCTGAAAATTCAGCTTTCAGCATCTTCAGGCGTCACAGGAATAATTTACATTTTTTTAACAGTTTTTAATATTAAATTCAAAAGTTATTTTCTTGATATTACTAATCTACTGTATTTTTGATCAAATAAATGGAGCCTTGGTGAGTGTAAGAGGCTTTCAATACATTAAAAAAAAAAAAAATCACAAAACATGCTCCCATGCTTTTTTTTCTGCTCACTGCCTGTCATGTATAGTTTAAAAATGCTCCAGCATCAACCGCTAAAAGCATTCAAATGAGATTTAACGGATATCCAGTTTTGGCTGCTATGTGAACAATATCCATTGTTATGCAAGATTACATCATTGTGCTCTTACAAACTCTGCTAAAACTTACTTAACAGACCTCGTTCTGCCCACGGCGTAATGAGAATAGTTTTTGACATATGGACGGTCAGGATGGCCATTGAGCTGAAGATTGCTCATTTGCCAGATTGTCGTTTGCTTCTAGGCAAATGGAGACATACACTTCAGTAGCATTTGTTCAGTAACATATACGCTAGTATTGCTGTGTAGCTATAGACAGAAGCTTCATTACAGGACAGAACCATTCTTTTCTCTAAGTTTAATTTAATGGAATATTTGAATACAATTATTCTAGACTATCAGGCGTGTGTAAAGAAATGGTGTGATTTTGCAGTAAAATGCAGTGCACATGATTATAAGTCTCTTTAGTGCTTGATGGTTTTAGATGATACATCAGAAAGCGGATGTGATCAAAGAGGAGGTAGGTAAATTATAGTATTTCCCTTGCATAACTTATCATTATTGTCTCCTGCCCTATTCTTAGCTACTGGGACACAGCTTACGACAGTGATGTCATGGATGACCGTGTGGGACTCAACTTGTTATATGCTCAGGTAACAGTCTCCTAGTTTAAAAGATACTCTGTGTTTGGTCCATCGCACAAAAAGTCATAATGTGTATAACTGTTCTGGCAAACAATGTGTCTCCTGTTCTGAAAAAAATTTTTTTTTTTTTTATAAAATGTATATAGTTATTTAGACTTTGTGGGAATCATCCAACATTGGCTTATTTATAGTTGTCTTAGTTGTCATCATCTTTAAAAACTAAATGAAACATTTTTATTGAAGGGCTAGTTCACCCAAAAATGAAAATTCAGTCATTAATTACTCACCCTCATGTCGTTCCAAATCTGTAAGACCTTTGTTCATCTTCAGAACACAAATTAAGAAATTTAGTGAAATCCGAGAGTTTTCTGACCCTCCATAGACAGCAACACAACTGACACATTCAAGGCCCAGAAATGTAGTAAAGACATTGTTAAAATAGTGCGAATGCCTTATTTGTTTGGAACGACATGAGGTTGAGCAAATAATGACAGAAATGTTAATTTTTGGTTGAACGATCTCTTTTACTTAACGCAAATAAACAATAAATAAATAAATAACACAACACATCTGAGATATCTGAAAACGAACTCTAAAACTAACTAAAATAAAATGGAAACAAATACTAAAAATTGTATTTTATTTTTTGATACATGATATATTATTAGGGATGTAACGATGAACCGTGAGCCGATGTGACGATTCAAATCGGTTGAGATGCTAAACAAATCGTGATTCAATTGAAGTAGGAGTTTATATGAATGTATCTCTGAGGGGAACAGGGAAAAGTTTACATGGTATTTTCTTTTCATCTTGCCTCTGAAAGATGCATATTAAAGTAGTGTTCATAAGCGCAGTTCTGCTTTGTTTACATTGATAACCCAGGAAACCCTACAGTATATTATTGCTGTTCATAAGCACCACCTGCTGGCAGAGAGTGAATTTGCGTCTTATTCAGCTCGTCTGCGGTTTCGTTCAGATATGTTTTATGTAGTATAGTTTCACAAAACTAAAGTCAGACCATTCTGTTTTTGCTTCAAATTTCGAAATTATACAGTCTTACTTAGACTAAAAACTGCTCATGCTGCATCTTTGTTTGGATCATGATTAAAATGCAGTGGTTGCCTCTAATTTTAAATGGAAAGAGCACAGACAAAGCCTTAGTTTTTTTTTTTATATGAAGAGATTTCTTTTGTGCAACTTATTTGATTTGGGGTTTGTTAAAAAAATTCTATTTAGTTTTGTTATATTTCAATTTCACAAAGAAACGTGCAGCAATCGTCTAATAAAAGGATACCTTTTCATTTACTGTATAATGTCTTCAATCTCATTTTGTGAAAAAATCGTGAGAAAATTGAATCGTGAAATCAAAATCGTGAATCGAATTGAATCGTGAGTTGAGTGAATTGTTAAATCCCTATACATTATAAATCTTAAAATTCCTGCATTTAAGTAATTTACTGAACAACAATAATACCAGACTACTGAGAAATATATGCTCCATTAAACATTTTAAAATAAATTTTATTTGAGTATTAACTTCTACAACCATAAAATAGTATTACAACGTAAAGTAAAACAGTAAATATAGTGCTTCATTTGTAAACAGCAGTTAATGCATTAGGTTTCTAGCATTTATTACATTTTAGATATATATATAAAATTAAACAAAGTAGAACTGACAACTACAATGAAAATTAAAAAACTAGACATAACTAAATTAACCCTGACTGCATATTGAGCTGGGATTTATTATGGAAAAACTGCACAAATCTTCCTTAAAAACAATTTATTCAGTGAACTTCAGAGTGAGAGAAACCGATTTTTTCCTCTTTCTTCCACTCAGACGGTGTCTGACATAGAGCGGGGATGGATCCTCGTGAACAAAGAGCAGCACAGACAGCTGAAATCCCTGCAGGAGAAAGGCTCAAAGAAGGAGGTACGGCTGAGCTCCGCCACACACGTTATTTGATCTCCCTAGTGTCTGTGAGCTGGAAAGAAATTGACTACTTCTATAAAAGCCATTCTCAGACATGAATGTATTATGTTGAAGCCTCCAGTAATTTGTGTCTGTTAGATAATCATCTGTGTCTAACTGTATTCTGTCCCACAGTTCATCAGATTGGCTCAGACTCTGAAGTACTATGGCTATATCAAGTTTGATCCCTGCATCACAGATTTTCCTGAGAAGGGCTGTCATGTTATAGTTGGTGCCGGCAACAACGAACTCAACTTTCACGTCAAACTGCCCAGTGATCAGATGAAAGAGGGCAGCTTCAAAGTCACGCGCATGAGATGTTGGCGGGTCACCTCATCTGTAAGTTTGATAAAAAAAAAAGTATTTTACAATAATGCAGACATCATTGCAATTTTGCATTCAAAAAGGTCCATTGTTGGTCTATGAAGCAAGCAGACCACTTATGTTGGTCAAAGTCGCAAATTTTTTTGACCAACTTGATCAAAATCTGCATGGGGAACTTTTTTGCTCCATGCGAAACTCCTGATCAAATGGATTCCTATTGAAATTACTTGATTTTGCTGAACAATGGTAAATGCAACCATGCATTTAGCAAAGTCATACTAAAAATGGTCACATTGGCCACAAAAGCTTGTCGTTCAGCAGTTCCTGAGTTCATTCCTAAAGTATGTGAATAGTTGAGTCAAATGAGGTCACATTTTTAAAGAAAGAACCACACCACTTGTATTTTAGACCTAGTTGCTTAAATTAAACAGGCAAGTATTTCTTTTTATCTGCTTTTAATATTTTTGAAATAACTTAATGACAACTTTATTTTAGCCTGGACTAGCTGAATCTCTATAAAAAGCTTTATTTTGTTAAATGTTGTGAAATAAAGGCAAACATGCTAAAAATGTAATAAAAATACTTATTATAATGCTTTTTGCTGTAAGAATGTAAAAAACTGAAATCTATACCATTTTATTTAAATAAGTATGCTAGATAAAAAATAAAATGCTAGAAATAAAAATCTATTGTTTTAAACACTACAAATGATTTTAGGCACCACAATATAATAATGTACAGTATGAAAACTGGATCCAGTGTTCAGTATAATAAAGTCTTATTATTTTATTTATTTATTTATTTTCAAAAAGATATGCACTACTTTTTAAGGTAAGGATGTAGGAAAACTTCCTTTTGCGTCTCCAGACAACTCTTTTCTCCAAATTCCTTCTATGACTGTCTCTTCTGGCATGTCTGGTTGGTCTATTTCGGAAAAAGGGAAGTTGAAACGGGGATGACCAAAAAAGCCACTTTCAGCCAGGAAAAGAGACTGTGTTGTTTGTCTGCTTGCTTGCTTATAACTATCAGCTACCAGACACTCGTCCATTTATCTATTGATATTTATTTCATGGGAATCCACTAAATGTATGCCTTCATGGTTTTCTGCATCCATTTTAGTATACCAGAATATGGAAACAAAATGAAGACAATCGAAATCTTCATTCTGTGTCTAAAAGTATTAAGAGTTCTTTCTCCGTCCCTTGTTTTTAAACAGTAGATTAACAAATAAATGTGCCACATAGAAGCAATACCTAAACAACTTCTAGTGAAAATGTGAAAATGCTTTGAATATTTTCAGTTTGGTCCAATACAAGCAATTCAGTGCATATTGGAAGTTGTTTTTGCTTCACTCTGCAGTGTTCTCGGCTTAGTCTTTGCCCTGGAATAGCAGAGTTGTGTTACTAATGAGCTCAGAACGGCCGTCCTCTGAGACCAGGATCTTACGCTGAGGATGCTGGTACTGCGTAGCAATGTCTCTCTAATGGGACTGACAGAGTTTACTGTGTCTGTGTGAAGTTGTTGTCTGCTTTGTCATCTGAGACGATTCTAATGAGACACTTTTTTTGTTGTTGTGCTGATGATGCTATGTAATTATGAGGACGTTGGCATTTAGAGCAGAGCTAATGATGACTAATTGAGCTTTGAAGGTAATTGCCATGTAGAGGAGTTTAGAAATGGCCTCTGTAATTGCCTCGACACAAATAACAATGATTATGATGATCGTATTTGTGATGACCCGGCCTGATTCTACAGCAGGTGCCTGTGGCGAACGGTACCGCAAACCCAAGCAGTTCCAGTAAATGTGACGTGAAACTAGAGCTGGCCTTCGAGTATTTGATGAGCAAAGACCGTCTGCAGTGGGTCACCATCACCAGTCCACAGGTCAGCGCAGAATCAATCGATGATATTGAAATTCTATACTATTTTTAAATGTTATTTTAGGCATTAATTTTGAGATTTGCTGAAGATTTCAAATATTATCTAAATGTTTTAAGTGTTTTTAAAGATTAAATTTAAGTGAGCTTAGATGACGGCAAAGGTAAAAATAGTGAATGAGTATGAATATCCAGTAGTGCCCAATAAATGTTTGTCTGTTTGAGAATCACTGGACTGTGAGTTTTTATTGTTTTTCCCCAGGCTATCATGATGAGTATTTGTCTGCAGTCTATGGTAGATGAGCTGATGGTGAAGAAATCTGGCGGAAGCATTAAAAAGGTCAGTAGGTCTATGTTTGTCTTCTCGTAAAGACATGCCAAATATCTGTGGAGTTTCTGAAATATCTTTCAGTCGGTGGATGTGTATGTGTTTGATTCATTTAAGAGCTTGAGTCTTAATTTGTTTTTGCCACATGGGATTTGCATGAAGAACCCTTTCAGCATAATCTGGTCTTAAATGTTGGTTAAATCATCTGTTTGCTGGAGAGACTTGAACAAAACTGAGCTCACTTTAAGTCAACTTGAAAGCACAGTATATTCAAAACCAAATTTATACTTCCTTAAAGGATCGGTTCACTTCCAGAATAATAATTTCCTGATAATTTACTCACCCCCATGTCATCCAAGATGTTCATGTCTTTTTGTCTTCAGTCGCAAAGAAAAAAAGTCGTTTTTTATTAAACATTCCAGGATTTTTCTCTATATAGTGGATAAAATCAATGGTGACCAACGGGTTTGAAAGTCCAAATTGCATTTTCAGTGCAGCTTCAAAGGGCTCTACACGATAACAGCTGAGAAATAAGGGTCTTCTCTAGTGAAACCATCGGTTATTTTCTTAAAACAATAAAAATTGATATACTTTTTAACCACAAATGCTCGTCTTGCACCAGCCCAACCTCACGCAATACATAGTCATGTTGGAAAAGTCACACGTGACTTAGGCGGAAGTACCGACCCGTTGTTTACAAAGCGAACGTGCAAAGAAAGTCAAACGGCCTTTACGAAAAAAGGTAAAACAACGATGTCAGAGGATTTTGAATTTGGTGGAGAAAATGAGATGGAGTTTTTCGCCATAGCCTACCTTTTTGAACTGAAGTACACGGATGAAGAACTAACCGCACGTAACCTTTCTGACTTGATTACATAAGGCGTGAAATTGTGGATGCGCATCGCAGAGCTAGTGCAAGACGAGCATTTGTGGTTAAAAAGTATATAGGTTTTTTTTTTTTTTACACAAAATTATCGATTGTTTTGCTAGATAAGACCCTTATTCCTCGGCTGGGATCGTGTAGAGCCTTTTGAAGCTGCATTGAAACTGCAATTTGGACCTTCAACCTGTTGGCCATCGTTGAAGTCCACTACATGGAGAAAAATCCTGGAATGTTTTCCTCAAAAACCTTAATTTCTTTGTGACTGAAGACAAAAAGACATGAACATCTTGGATGACATGGAGGTGAGTAAGGACATTTTTATTCTGGAAGTGAACTAATTCTTTAAAGTCACCATGTAACAGAAGTAGCGACAGACCTTTTCTTCTATAATATGACATAAATCAGAGTGAAACGGATTATTGAAAAAGGAAAAATGTAGGACGGGGTCTTGGTTTTCTTTGTCTTTTAATTGGATGATGGCAGATCAAAATGCAAGCTTGTGGTTGGTTGCAAAAAAGTGGCAAGGGGTTAAACAGATTACACAGAGAAGTCTGGTATACGTCATCAGAGAAAAGTCAGAGCTATGCAACATTGTGATGCATGGATGAATTATTCACAATGAGATCAATAACTTGCATTTAGAAAATAGATTTTTAATGTGGCATTTTGAATGTGGTTTATTGTGGCATATGTCATACTAGTCATTCAATAATCAAAAAAATGCAGTGGCACTCAATTCAAGGAAATCAATGTTGCATACTAGAATGCAGATAAAAAAAAATTAGGCCTTGATGATGTCAGCTGAAAATGAAAGTTGTTTCAGTGTAGAAGTCTGGAACCGTGGGACCCGACCAGATTTCTTGCGCTGCAGGATTAAATTCCCGAATAAAACGCGGTAGTGGTCGGTAACTCTGGTGTAATTTGAACGGGAGCGGGCGGTCTAACAATATCCCGTTCCCGAAGTCCATTCAGAACAGCATATCTGCGCTTTATTCTTATTCACCAACGGTACAGCCTGCACTCGGACTGTTATGCACGCATGCTTTCTGCAGGGGTCTGTGCGCAGCATGTGCATACCGATGCTCAGAGCAGGCTGTACCGGTGGTAAATATACGGCCCTCAGTCAGAACATGAGTGACAGAGCAGAATAAGGATGGAGCAAAGTGTGGATGCGCTGTCCTTGAAGGACGTTCAACTCAGTTTTGTTTATATTTTGCCCGAAGTCCATTCAGAACAGCATATCTGCGCTTTATTCTTATTGACCAACGGTACAGCCTGCACTCGGACTGTTATGCACGCATGCTTTCTGCAGGGGTCTGTAAGCAGCATGTGCATACCGATGCTCAGAGCAGGCTGTACCGGTGGTAAATATACGGCCCTCAGTCAGAACATGAGTGACAGAGCAGAATAAGGATGGAGCAAAGTGTGGATGCGCTGTCCTTGAAGGACGTTCAACTTGTTTTTGTTTATATTTTGCTTAGCCTATCATTTTAAATGACAGATATCATATTTATTTATTTTTCTTTTCCTACAGTGTTAACAGAAACATTTCAAACGAATTTAGTATTTTGACAAGACGAATAAAAATAGCTAATATGCTATTTTTGTACAACCTACTTTTTTTTTTCTCTCTGCGACACATTTCCTATTGTGTTGTAAATGGTAAACGAATTGTAACCTGACAAGACGAATAAAAATAAGAAATACAATTTTTGTACACCATTTTTATTTTCTCTGTGACTTTTTTTTCCTATTGTGTTGCATAAAATATTAAACGAATTTTGTGTCTTAAGATAATTCATATAAATTCAAGTCAAAGTCAATAAATTCAAGACTCTTGACAAGACGAATAAAATGTCCCGCGCAGACCTCTTTTTTTTTTGTTCAGGTTTTCAAGTTTTGAAAGACTTTAAAGACATTATTCTCTTCAATAATATGCATCTATGAACCATGCACAATAAGTTCAGGAATGTGTTTTATGAAAATAAATGTGGTCAATTTGTATTTCATGCCTATTTACAGGGCATTTTCTTTCTTTTTCTCTAAGTTTGTGTGATTTGTGTTTCCAGAAGAAGCGACTGAACGGCTCGTTCCAGCGCTCTGACAGTCAGCAAGCTGTGAAGTCTCCTCCATTACTGGTGGGCGCCGAGGTTTTTGCTAATGCAGAACACCTCTAGTTTTGATATGGAAGATGTACCATTGTTGATATGTGATATGCATGACTGTTTTTCAGGATTCCCCTGATCCCAGCCGTGAACAAGTAGTCAAACTTTCTGTGAGTTGTCAATGATTTTCATTTCATTATAATTAACTTACAATGGAAATATCCTCTATACTGTTTTTATTTATACTGTGTATATATACTGTTATTATTTATATACCATTATAGTATTTATTATTTTGAATTCGCTTTTATTTTCACATTTTCAGTGTTTGTTGACTATTGTTAAGTTTAGCTTTATTTCAGTTTTAGTTTTAGTAATTTTAGTATTTCAATTTAAACGTATTTTACTTCCAAGTCACAATTTGTCATCTTATATTTATATTTTATTTCTATTAGCAAAAGATGTTAATTTTAGTTTTAGTTATTTAGATATTTATCTACTGTTCTCTCTATTATTATTTATTTTAATTTCCACAGACCAAGCTGTCTTCTGTCTCCCTGAGAGGACTTAGTTCTTCCAACTCAGCCAGTGACATCAGTGGCAATGATTTCCATGGAAACTATGCCTTTGAAGGAATAGGGGACGATGACCTGTGATGGAGTCATCCTCAAAGACTGGACTAAAGGAGACAGATTCATTTAGCAGTTTCTCTGCGATGAGTGTAGTTTAATGTGCCCCTATTATGCCATTTTTAAGGTTGCTAATATTGTTTTATGAGTCTCTTAAAACAGGTTTACATGTATGCAAGGTCAAAAAACACGTTAGTTTTTTCAAATAATAGATTTAATTTGACCTCATTTCTAAATGAATCGTAAACGACTCGTGCAAAGCAGTTCAAAGAATCAGTCTCTCTAAACCCCTCCTTTCCGTGAGCCCTCACTGCTGTGATTGGTCAGATGGCGCAGTCCTTTGTGATTGGTCCAGAGCCATAGAGAGATTGGCTCTGGATTGGTCTACCACGTACAGCGCATGTCGGGAACGAAACACCCATTGCCATGACGGAATGACCGCCCTGGAGACTTGTCAATACATAGAAAAGATGGTATCGATTGTACCTTACCAATTCGAGCCGGAGTCTGATGATGAAACGGTTGAACTGGCTGATCGACAAGAGACTGATTCGCAAGCACGACTGGAGCAGGACGTTTCTCAGTGGTAAGTGTCAAGTGTTAACAAGTTTGTGGTAATTATAAGATGTGATTAAACAAATTTACTCGTAGGATACAGCGTCTTCTCGACCAGATGTTAACCACACGGAAGTTTTACTGTTTGTGGGCGGGCAAGTTGGCGACGTAGAATGTGGGCAGACATTATGCAAATTGTGTTCTTTTGTGACGTAGAGCCGTAACAGAATAAGATTCGAATTCCTGACGACTCGTTTAGGCGATTATGAAAGGTAATATTCGAAAAGGCATAATAGGGGCACTTTAATAGATGCCCAGTTCTGCAGTTTTGTAATCCATTTTTGAAAAAAAAATTGTCAAGGGTCTCAAAAATGGCCTATGAAGTACATAATTTTGACTCAAGTCTCTCATTACTTTTATGAGAGGCCTCAGATTCAGTGCTTGCTCAATTAAAGTAACAAAAATTAGATAATTTCAGATTTGAGGCATAATTAGAGACAACATCAACGGTTAAATTAATACAGGGTTACATAGGCACCTCAGGGCAAGTTGCTACATTCAAGAGAGGTTGTGATGAAAGTTTCTTCTGAAGACGGGCTTTATTGAATCGTACTTCCTTACTAGAGACACAAAACTGTGCTTTTCCTCTCATGTCATCATGGCAGACACAAAATTCCTGTTGTCTCATTTTCTCGACTGCTCATGACAGTAGTTGCCTACTAGAGTAAGATCCATGCCAGCAAACTGTTGATATGGTCCTTTTAAAATCAGTTGATAATATTATTTAATAGAGATGTGCTTCGAATCGTTCAGTGTGCCAATGTTGCTCAAACAATTGCGTGGTAGCAGCAATATGACCCATCGCATGGTAGATCTCTGCAGCTTCATCGACCTGACGCCTACTGCATGTTCATTGCATATCCTGGATGAAAATACAAGATCTTTACTGTGGCCTGCTTTCTCTCTGCCTTATGCTGATTCAGACGCCTTACAGTTTTAATTTCTCAAATTTAACATTAAATGTAGCACCGGGCACAAGTTGGCTAAAAAGCTTCTCAATCTGGCCTCAGCTGTGTCCTGAAATCTCGCTTTGTTTTGGTGTGTTCGGCAGGCCCGCTTGCACTAGCTGAACTCATGCCTTTTTTTGCACAGTATTAAGTAAGATAGATGGCTTGGGTATTTATTGAGATAGGTAAAACTGTGGGAAAACATCCTGGAACATTCGTAAGTGGTTTGTAGGTCTGTTTTTTTTTTTCTTGAACCAATATATTAAAAATGTTTCTCATAAATGCCAAAATTATAGTTCACTAAAGCATTTTGCACAAAAATCATGGTAATGTCACTTTTATAAATGTACATGCAATTTAAAAAAATATTCTGAATATTTACTAATATCTGTATTATCTTTATTAAGTACAGTTGATCAAATATAATCCAGGCTGTGTAAAAAAAAACAAATATTAGAAACTAACATTTATCAGTGTTTACAAAATTGTAGAAAATTGTTGAAAAAGAGTGTTTACAAATTTCACATCTAAATTTCAGTGATTGTCTTAGTACACTTTATATATTTAATTTAGAAGAATATCATTCCAGTCTGCATTTTTCTTTTTATTATATACATATAATCCATTTTGTATTTTACTAAATACATTGTGGCAATCATCTCAGGACTGTGATCACATGGTGTTTGGGAAATGGCTGTATTTTAAATTTATGCTGGGTTTTTGACTAATGATAGTCATATTGAATGAAATTCCCATATTCTTCATCCCAGATATATGATTCCTCCCATGGGCAGAATGTGTCAAATGTGAAGGTTGTTCTCATGTCTGTGTGCTGTATGGCTGATTATTTTTGAGCTGATCCGACTGTAATTTGTGATTGCCATGTTCAGTATGTTCACCAGTATCATCATCATCTAGGATGAAAATGGTAACCGTCTATACTCTTAAACCCTGTACATTGCTCATAAATAAGTATGATTTATTTTTCAAATTCTCACTTCATTTTAAATCCAAGAATGGAAGTTAGAGCCTTCTTGGTTTCAATAAATTTAGGAGCCAAACGATGCTCCTCCGTGTTGTTTTCTGTTCCTTGGTTTAATAACACAAGCATGATGGGTATTTCAGCATGTGTGATTATCATATGAGATTGCCTGTAGACACAATGCCTCCTGTGCTTAGCTAGTGTGTAAAAACCCACTAAAGGTCCAAGGTCCTGGCTAAAAAACACTATTAGCATGAAATGTAGCTTTTTGACCTCCTACAATTTGAATCATCATTCAGTGATCACAGATCGTCAAATTTCCTTTTAATGTAAGCTTTTGCCTCAAAACAGGCTGCAACACTTCAGAAAAACAATCTAAAACTCATTCTCACAATCTAACAGCACGAAGATCACGGCAAGAGTTGTCAGTGCTCCGGTGCTGCCCGGGGCGCTGTCTTCATTAGCATGTTTACCAGAGCTGTTCGCAGCAGAGGATTACAGCTCTCATTATGGAAGTGTGAGGATTACACACTGCCTGTCTCAGCATCTTAATCATATCCTGCTGGTCTGTTAGTAACTTGCTTCTGAGCAGTTGGGTGACTGAAAGATGGCAAATAAATTGAGATGAGCAAGTTTCAACACAAACTCTTTTATTTGAGGATATTTAAGGCATTAATGAAACCACTGCATAATAACAAGAAAACACTCAAGCATCACACACCTACAAGATTCCATCAATGTTCAGTCGTTTTTGGCAACCTGAAGGTTTAACTGCATATTAGGGTTTATGGTTACTGTCGTCCTTCAGTACAGCTAACAATGCCATGGGTGGCAAATACATGCCAAACATTCCTCCGAGATAAAAAATAAAATCACATACAAAAATAAAAGCTCTGTTCAGCATGACACAAATACCCACTATGCACCATTTTGCTTCAAGTGAACTCAGACAAATGGCATTTTTCACAGTCAAAAAGATACACAACAATAAAAGGCAACATAATCCCTCAGAATTATTGAGAGCAAAAACAAGATGATCAAAGATCACAACATAATGCTCATCTGTAAAGACATTTTCATCAGTAGGGTTGAGAATATCTTTGACGGACAAATGATCAATCACATAAAACCTCAAAAGAGCCAATCAAGGTAAACTTAAGTGCATGCAGTGTAGCTCCAGGCTTAAAGAAGAACTTCCTATGGTAGTGGTGCGGAGTTTGGCACTGATAAATGAACCACAATCAGGCTCAGAGAACACTCTTAGAGAGCTTTGTGTAACAAACTGCCTTGTTCAAAGACATTAATCAGGAGTGTTCAAACCTGCTCCTGGAGGACCACCTTCCAGCAGAGTTTAGTGCCAACCATCTCCCACAAACCCTGCAGGAAGTTTCAAGGATTCCTAAAGACCTTGATTAGCCATTTCAGGTGTGTTTAGTGTATTTAGAGTCTGCAAGAAGGTTGGCCCTCCAGGAGCAGGACTGGACAACCCCTGCATTAGGACATTCAGGTAACTGTCTTTTAATTTGTGCATGACTTCATGTAGCAGCTTGTGGACAATTCCAAGAAATGTCTAAAATAATGACTTTCAAAATAAATGAGGGCACAAAGAAAAAGAAAAGCAACCAACAAAGCTTATGCAGTAACAGTAAAATCTCATATGGACGACTATGTCTTGCAATAAGAGGCTACACCTCTTCCTCGTCCTCCACCTCTTCCTCATTTTCAGCCATCTGCACTTTAACCCAGCCATCTGTAGTGAGGCTATGCTTCTTCTGATGTCGTTTGTAATTGTCCCAGTGGCCAGTGGTGTAGCCACACTCTTGGCACTTATGGGGCTTCTCGCCCGTGTGGCGCAACATGTGCCGCTTCAGGTTCATACTCTGGTTGCAGCTGTAGTTGCAGATGGCGCACTGAAAGGGTTTGGCGCCCGAATGCACCCGCTGGTGCCTCTTGAGATTAGCCAGGTTGCCGCAGGCATAGTCACACAGGTGGCACTTATAGGGTTTCTCGCCAGTGTGTACTCGATGGTGCCGCTTGAGGTTGTCGAAGTGGGCGGAGGCGTAGTCACACTGCGGGCACTTGTATGGCTTCTCTCCGCTGTGGGTCTTCATGTGGCGGGCCAGGTGGTTCGGGTAGTGGGTGAGGAAGGGGCAGGCAGCACAGGTGTAGACCTTGTCCCCTCGCTCAGCGGGGCATCCGGGTGTGTCCTTAGTTAGCATCTCCAGGGTGCACTTTGCGCATATTTGGGCCGAGGATCTGTCTTCGTCATCCAGGGCCATGCTGCAGAGCCGACAAGTGAAGGGGAAGAACATTGGGGGCAAGGAGGCAGGTTCAGACACAGCCTGTCCTGACTGCAACAACCCTGTTGATGACTGCTGCGCAAGCCTGAGGCCATCAAGGGCGTGCAAGTAGTTTCCATCCCTTCCCATGTGGGGTCGCGGGGCAGACTGCACAGCACCTGGAACTGAAGGATTTTGAATTAAAACTCTCTTTTCGATGTTCTTTCAGGTTGATGATGCACGGGGCAACTTTTTTTGAGCAATGTTGCTTGGGCACTTTCCCACTGAGAATGGGTAACAAATTTCTATCTGGATACTTTAGATCGGTCGTGGGCCCTGTGTCTCACCTGGTTGCCCGTTGACGGCAATATTGCCCAAAGTTGCCCCATGTATCATCAGCCTCAGGGGTAAAGCAGAACCTTACTTACCTTCGGTGGGGGCAGGAGCAGCTTCCTTTTCCTTCTGACCCGTTGTAATGTGGTTTAAACCGTTGCCACTTATTGGCTGAGGGGCACTCTGACCCGGGCTTACAGCTGCATGCATACGCTGGTGCCTCTTCAGGTTCCCTAAGGAACTGCACGCAAATGTGCAGTGGTTGCACTTATAGGGCTTTTCCCCGGTGTGTATGCGCAAGTGCCTTTGCAGGTTTACTAGCTGTGCCGATGCGTAGGAGCACAGCGGACACCCGTACGGCTTTTCGCCATTGTGCGTCTTCATGTGCCTCTTAACGTGGTTAGTGTAGCGCGACGTGAAACCACAGAGCGTGCATGAGTGGAGCTTTAGGGAACCATCCTCGCCACCAGCGCCCTCATTCCCTCCCCCTCTAGACTCCGCTTGTAAGACTAAGCCCGAGCAGAGCTTCCTGTCCACAACACCATTCGCATTCCCTTTGCAGCAGCGCATGCAGAAAGGCCCCACCAAGTCCATGCCGGGTCCCAGGGGGTCTTCCAGGAGCTGACCACAGCCCCTGCAAGAGAGGTAAGAGGGAAAGGCAGACTCAGAAACCCTCTCTTCACGCTCGCTTTCGGTCGCACGCAGGTCATCGGCGTCACTCTCCATACTGAGGCGGCTGAAGGGGGAGCTCTCCTCGTCTCCCAGGGGGAAGCCAGGCAGACTGATGTCAGCTGTACAGGACCACAGCAGGAAACTGCATTACATTATGCAGCTGCATAGATATGTTTTCTGCCATCTCAGATAGTGTGCAAGCATTCGAATACAATTTGGGGCTGATAAATTATTATTTCAGTATAAGTTGACAGTAATATTAGTATCTTACTATTACAAGTTACTAAAGACAAATGCTCACACAAAAAAAGTAAACTTTTATGCAAGATCACATGCATCTACAGTTGTCAAAAGTACAAATTTTGCACAAAATATCAACAGCTGAAGTTATAGGAAAAATATTTGGCATTTATACTTACCCACTAAGCCAGTGGACAAACGTTAAGTAATGCAACAAATAAAAGGTGGTACTCCAACAAAACACAAGACTATAGTGTTTCTGCTCACTGTCTTTCCATGAAACGTTGCTTTCCTTCTGCAAGCTCCTCATGCACATGCAATTTGGAGAAATGTGTGAGTCTGAAGTCTGAACAGGCCTTTATATCGCTCGTTTCAGAAACCCCAGGTGGATGATTACCCAGCCTAATGATAATGATGATGACTATAATGGTCCTGCTGATGATGATGATGATGATGAGGGGGAGATGATGATGATGATGATGATGGTGATGATGACAACTATGATAAAGACCCTGAGAGGAGATGATGATGATGATGATGACTAAATGCCTTATTATAATGTGTCCTTGATGGTGATGACTGTCTTGATGACCCTTATATAATAGTGGTGGCACAGTGTATTTTTTCCTGATTTGCCATTTTGAAATTGTATGTTCTGTCAGAATGCCAAAACCAGAGAAATTTTCCAGAATGGTAGGCTGACTTCTTCCATCTGTACATGAAAGATCACACTGCTTGCTGACAGACAAAATGCAGCACGTTTGCATAATAGCACTAATATTACAAGTCAGTCTTTGCAGTTAATGTCCCATATTGAGCACATATGTCTCCAAACAAATGCAAGCAATACAGCAAACTAAAGCATGTTTAAAATCCTCAAGATTTAGCAGTAGCCATCATGTTATTTTCAAGTAATTAAAAAAATTTTTTTTATTAAAATTAAAAATGCATATTCACAAGAAATTTCTATGTAAAATTATGATCGTTTTGACTTTTAATTAAAAATCTACAATTTCTCAATATTTCCATTTTCCATGACAGTCTGAACCCTTTAAAGGGGTCATATGATGCGATTTCAAGTTTTCCTTTCTCTTTGGAGTGTTACAAGCTGATTGTGCATAGATAAGATCCCTGAAGTTGCAAAGACTAAAGTCTCAAAACCAAAGAGATATTCTTTATCAAAGTTAAGACTCTGCCACGCCTACCTAAAACGGCTCTGTTCTAACACGCCCCCACATATCTACCTCACTATGTGGAAATATTTGCATAATGCCACCCAAATGTGCACGCAAAGAAAGAAGGCGTGGTTTCAGTAACCGCAGTTAGTGTTGAAGCAGCCATGTCAGGGAGACGCTGTGTGTTTCTAGGCGAAAGCAAAAGCACTTTATTTGGCCTTCCGAAAGTAGATGCATTTAGGAATCTTTAAGATTACTTACAACAGAACAGCAATGCATTTTATGGACGACCGTTTCGTGAACCTAGGAGAGGAGGTAATTCTTACTTTGCTATGACAATCTGGCATTTCTGAATCAGCTACTGTTTTGTTATTAGTTTAAGTATTTGCTATTGACTGTTCAAATGCGGAGTTTTGCGCATCGTGTGTGTGTGTGTGCGAGCGAGCGAGAGAGAGAGTGCGAGAGAGAGCGAGAAAGAGAGAGAGAGCGAGAGAGAGAGCGAGAGAGAGAGGGGGTCACTTCACAAACACATACCAGCTTCATCACTGTGTCTGTCACGCGACTCTGTTCCCCTTTCGGGCTCTGGCTCCTACCAAAGTTAGGCTTAGAAACTCGTGTAACTCACCTGAGAACTTTTCAAGACCTATGATCTTGTTGTCATTGTCAGGATCTGAAAACTCGAGTTCTTGTCCCAGGAGAAAGTCGCTCTCGAAGGTAAGGCTTGCTGGACGTACAGTGCCTAAACCATCTTCAGAATCCACTGAAAGCAAAGGGTCATGGTCAAATACAGCAGCAATAGCAAAAACAACACTGAAAGATCATGCAACTTGACCCAAAATAGACAGTCTCTGTGTGCCATTTCTCTCCTTATCTTAATGATAATATCTGTTGTGATGTTATTGTCCTGTATGTGTGCATTTTTATTGCATCTTTTTAATTATTTTTCAGTGTTTATTTCAGTGTTTTATTTGTCTTTGTTATGATGATTTATTATTATTTATTTTTTTACGCAACAAATAGTCAAAATCTAAAAACTAAAAAATAATAATAAAGGATGTAAAAATATGTCCTAAACCTATATGAAGCCCATACAAGCAGCTGTAAGCTTTGTAAGTCATAGTGAATCTTACATTTATTATACAACCAAGATGATCTACTGCACACCATCTTGTGGGATTATGTTCATTTGTAACAATTAATAATTGGCCTAATCACTAATTAAAATAAATATAACTCTCAAAACACAAAACCATCATAAGAATTGGTAGAATAGTCTTCAACTATAAGCACATTTTTAATATAGTAAATATAAATATAATATAGTAATAATAATATAATAATAGTTTATTTCATCTGTCATTTCAACTAAGTCACAATTTATGCATTTTTTTAGAAACATTTTCTGAATAAAATATTATTTAAACTAAATCAGTTTTCACACAATATTTGGCATAATGAAATAATTACAGCTTGACATGAAAGAAGTTTATCTTTCATCTTTACTAGTAGCAAAATAGCTAGTCACAGTGGAAATTACATCACACTGAGAGTTTTATTTATATAACTTTAATTATGGATTTTCATATTTTACAATTTACAAGGGTAAAAAAAAAACAATAGGTATATTAATATCTGAATAGAAACAGTAAAAATAAACAAAGAAGGCAATGTAAAAAAATTTCCAAGACAGTTTTAATGTGATTTTCATGTAACAAAAAAGGAAAAATAAGTTAAAGAAACAGCCAATCATGCAGAATCGACTTGGCCAGTAACGGATTCTGGCTTTACTGTAATTTTACTGCCATCTGCTGGACGAGACTGACAATAATCACAACTTTATAAGAAAAAAGGGGACACAATGAAACAACCAATACTTTTGAAGCAGGCTATGTTTGCAGCAAGTAAAATATTATTAATTCATTTACTAGGTAAGACTGAAAATCTTAAAATTACATGATATTAAAATGAATTACACCGTGTAGACAGCTAAATTCAACTCTTCTTCATAATCTGATAAACACAGAAACAACTCCTACTTTTTTTTAGTTAGTCGCATTATAAATTTGAAAATAAAGGGCACTGGATACACAGCATATAATTATCAGAAGAATCTAGCAGTCAGCTTGTCTGATGCCTGAAATCACAATTCAAAGTCAAAACAGATGGCCGTGCAACTATGTTTCTTTCGATACAAAATGATCACTATTTATTTATAATTATAAGTTATTTATAGAGAGATAGATAGATAGTTTATAATTATATTATAAACTAATTATAATACTATAATCAACCAGTCGTGTGTCTCTGTTATTACTGTAACAAAAGAGTCTGCTGAATGGCAGCTAACATTCAGTGATTTTAGACAGACACGTCCAAGTTTATATTATGATTTTAAAAAAAAGACCACATGACGAGTTTCCATGATTTTTCTCTGAATTAGTAAATACCATCCAAAACCAAATGAGGGGAATGAAGCACGTTTCAAATAATTTAGCTAATAATATTAGAAGAGAAAGCAGCTTACACTTGACTGGTTGTGGATTCTGTTGTTTTCTTCTTGGCATCTTCCAGTTAGCCTTTTTATTTGCAACCTCCTCTGGATTCTCTCGAAAACAATCAACTCATTCTCCAAAGTATCCTTTAAAAGCATTGACATAACACACGTTACTGGCATGCACGTCAACACAACCCATATGACAGATGCATGGCGCATCTAGGAGCTAACATGCTAATCTTACAGTGGCATATAAGATAAAGAAGACTTGCGTCATTTACAGCAAATAAAAGATGTAACGTTATTAAACTCGTAGTGCGACAGAATGCATGTATGTGTTCTGAACTGCATGGCTCTTTCAGCCCAGGCTGTGTGTTTGTTCAGTCGATATGTACCACACAAATCTAAAAACTCAACTCCAGCTATATTGTCAAGCTCAGCAGATGTCATAAATATACCTGCTCTTTCTGCCTGACACGTCAAATAACAGTTCTCTTCGAGGCAAAACAGCGGCGTCTGACGGGGCGCTACTGCTCTCAGTCCGCCATTCCGTAACACATCCACCACAAAGAAAGGCAATTAATGCTCTTTTTTCATAACTTAATTGTCTCAGTTACGCGTTTCCGGGGACGTAGCCGCTCTATTTTTACATTTCTCTTTTTATGGAATGTTGTCCGATAATGTAACTAAAATAAAGGAAAGCCTTTTGATCCATTTTTGTGGGCGCAATAACTATGAATAATTCTTACCTATTATATTATTATGACAACATTATTTATATGATATGATATTATTATATTATAATATATCATATTATATTATATTATATTTATTATGCAACAGCCATCAATATTCTAATATTGTCTTTCTATACTATTCTTGCTGTAGCAAAAGTCTGTTGTACCACAGTCCATAATACAAAGCTGTCGTCTTAATTATTATTATTAATTATTATAGTAAGTTATACGTACATTTATACTAGGCTATATATATATATATATATATATATACAGACAAACCCAGATAAACAGATACTGTTTCATTACCAAATGGCATGAAGTGATTCTACGTCATGCCATCGATTGAGATCACTGCAGTAGGCAGCTCTCTCTCCCGCAGGCCATGACAAGCTCTCAAGCAGCAGGCGCCGCCGGTGTGCAGGGAACCTCGGGGTTCAAGCGGATCTCCTCGCCAACGTCATGCGGCGAATCTCAGACCACAGAGTCCAGAAAAACGCTGAAAGACGCAAATAGGCGACGTTTTACAGCAGTGGGAGGAGCCACGAGAGCCTGCGCGTCCTCAGCCGCTCAGTGGGAGGAGCCAAGAAAGCGGTGGTGCTGAGCTGATAACGCGCTGAGCGGAGGTAAGAGACTGATTTCATTAAATTATTGTGCGTTATCTTTTAGTCAGAGGATGTTTTTCTCTTCCTGCGTTTATCTATTATAAGCTGCATTTAAGCATAAAAGTATATTATTTGGCAGGGATGAATGGCAATACGTAATAACCTTGCCACTCCCTGCAGTGCTGTGATGCCCTGGTCAGACCTTCTGATTAATTATTACAAATTCTGCTCTTAGACAACGAATTTTAGGGAATGAAATTTAAAGCAGCGCTAAACAGACATATTTCAGCATAATCGAGAGGTCGTCTGACGTGCATGTGATTCTGTACGTAAATAGCTACATGTATAATAAAGGTCCGTACTGTATCATTAAAGTAACAGTTGGTGTAAATACCGGATCACTGATGCGCTCGTGGCCCAAATGTGGAGGTGTGTCCTCATTTGGCGTCCTAAACGGTATTGCCACGATGCTTTCCTGATGAGAGTTATTGCTCAGTCAGGGTATTAACGGGATCCCCTCCCTCTTCAAAAGAGCCTGATATAATTGTAAACAGGGCTATGATAGCATTGCATCGGCCTTTGATATTTTTGGTTTGCCAGGATGTTGCCCACCTTTGCTTAATGTGGTTAAACAAGAAAACTGTTGAGTGCGTGTCCAGGAATAGTCCAGGGAACGGAGAGAAAGAAAACACACCGAAGCCAATCCAAAGATCTCAGCCACAGGATTTTGCTCTATGGCCAGAGAAGCTATAAAACACATTTGAGCTTTGTCTCATCACTGAGGCCCACTGGGATACTGCAATATACATGATAAAAGTATTTTAAAAGATGTAACGTTATTAAACTCGTAGTGCGACAGAATGCATGTATGTGTTCTGAACTGCATGGCTCTTTCAGCCCAGGCTGTGTGTTTGTTCAGTCGATATGTACCACACAAATCTAAAAACTCAACTCCAGCTATATTGTCAAGCTCAGCAGATGTCATAAATATACCTGCTCTTTCTGCCTGACACGTCAAATAACAGTTCTCTTCGAGGCAAAACAGCGGCGTCTGACGGGGCGCTACTGCTCTCAGTCCGCCATTCCGTAACACATCCACCACAAAGAAAGGCAATTAATGCTCTTTTTTCATAACTTAATTGATTTCCAAATTGCCATTGTATACATTTTCTTCCGCTACGTTGCGTATATCCGTTTTCTCAGTTACGCGTTTCCGGGGACGTAGCCGCTCTATTTTTACATTTCTCTTTTTATGGAATGTTGTCCGATAATGTAACTAAAATAAAGGAAAGCCTTTTGATCCATTTTTGTGGGCGCAATAACTATGAATAATTCTTACCTATTATATTATTATGACAACATTATTTATATGATATGATATTATTATATTATAATATATCATATTATATTATATTATATTTATTATGCAACAGCCATCAATATTCTAATATTGTCTTTCTATACTATTCTTGCTGTAGCAAAAGTCTGTTGTACCACAGTCCATAATACAAAGCTGTCGTCTTAATTATTATTATTAATTATTATAGTAAGTTATACGTACATTTATACTAGGCTATATA